GAAGACGTCACATGCTGCAGACCAAATCACCAAGAGATCCCTCGGTGTGTATATGTGCACCTGTAAATGCAGGTCTTGCGTTTCAAATAAATAACATGGTAATTACCGTAATAGCCGGTCTATAAACCATTTACTTTTTGTTCTTCGCCTATTGTGAGATCAGTGTTGGGATAAACACGTTACAAAAGTAATGTATTGCTTTTTTCTTTAAAAAAAATAACTGGGTAATATTTCACTTGTTACAGAGGTCAGCAACGTGCGTTACATTCCGTTATAACTAATTAAATTGTATTCAGTTTTTATACTAGGTCACTACAAGATCAGTACAGGAGAAGAAATCTGCGCCAATAGCAGTCACCAAGATGTACTTTCCCTTTCTGGTAGAAGATGGCTGAAACTGAAGCTGAAGCAGAAGCACTACGTCGGACAATAGTACATATTCACAGATGGACTACTCCCATTATTTTGAGTTTGTTGGAGACAAAGATCGCGGCAGGCCAAGCGTGCCGCGGCCCGGGCTGTTGCAGAGGCAAAAACCCGGGACTGGGAGGAATTCGGAGAGTCCATGGAGCATGACTATCGGTCGGCCTCGAAGAGATTCTGGCAAACTGTCCGGCGCCTCAGGAGGGGGAAGCAGTTCTTTGCCAACACCGTGTACGGTGCGGGGGGTGAGCTGCTGACCTCGACCGGGGATATTGTCGGACGGTGGAAGGAATACTTTGAGGTTCTCCTCAATCCCCCCGTCACGTCCTCCGCTCCGGAGGCAGAGGCTGAGGATGTTGGGGCGGATACTTTTGTCACCCTGGCAGAGGTCACCAAGGTGGTTGGCAGCCTCCTTGGTGGCAAGGCGCCGGGAGTGGATGAGATCCGTCCTGACTATCTAAAGTCTCTGGATGTTGTAGGACTGTCTTGGCTGACACGTCTCTGCAACATCGCGTGGCGATCGGGGGCGGTGCCAATGGAGTGGCAGACCGGGGTGGTGGTCCCTCTCTACAAGAAGGGGGACCGGAGGGTGTGTTCCAATTATCGTGGGATCACACTCCTCAGCCTCCCTGGTAAGGTTTACTCCAAGGTACTGGAGAGGAGGTTACGGCCGATGGTCGAATCTCGGATTCAGGAGGAGCAGTGTGGTTTTCGTCCCGGCCGTGGAACACTGGACCAGCTCTACACTCTCCATCGGATACTCGAGGGTTCATGGGAGTTCGCCCAACCTGTCCACATGTGCTTTGTGGATTTTGAGAAGGCGTTCGACCGTGTTCCCCGGGGTGTCCTTTGGGGGGTCCTCCGTGAGTACGGGGTCCGGGGTCCTCTGCTGAGGGCCGTCCGGATGTATGACCGGAGCCAGAGCTGTGTTCGCATTGCCGGCAGTAAGTCAGACCTGTTCCCGGTGCATGTTGGCCTCCGCCAGGGCTGCCCTTTGTCACCGGTTCTGTTCACTGTATTCATGGACAGAATTTCTAGGCGCAGCCAAGGGTCGGAGGGGGTCCGGTTCGGGGACCACAGGATTTCATCTCTGCTGTTTGCAGACGATGTTGTCCTGTTGGCTCCAACGAACCAGGACCTACAACATGCACTGGGACGGTTTGCAGCCAAGTGTGAAGCGGCTGGGATGAGAATCAGCACCTCCAAATCTGAGGCCATGGTGCTCGACCGGAAAAAGGTGCCTTGCCCTCTCCGGGTGGGAGGAGAGGCCCTTCCTCAAGTGGAGGAGTTCAAGTATCTCGGGGTCTTGTTCACGAGTGAGGGAAGGATGGAGCGTGAGATTGACAGGCGGATCGGTGCAGCGTGCGCAGTGATGCGGTCGCTGTATCGGACTGTTGTGGTAAAAAGGGAGCTGAGCCGAAAGGAAAAGCTCTCGATTTACCGGTCAATCTTCGTCCCCTCCCTCACCTATGGTCATGAGCTTTGGGTAATGACCGAAAGAACAAGATCGCGGATACAAGCGGTCGAAATGAGCTTCCTCCGCAGAGTGGCTGGGCGCTCCCTTAGAGATAGGGTGAGGAGCTCAGTCACACGGGAGGAGCTCGGAGTAGAACCGCTGCTACTCCACGTCGAGAGGAACCAGTTGAGGTGGCTCGGGCATCTGTTCCGGATGCCTCCTGGACGCCTCCCTGGGGAGGTGTTCCGGGCATGTCCCACCGGGAGGAGGCCCTGGGGAAGACCCAGGACACGCTGGAGGGACTATGTCTCTCAGCTGGCCTGGGAACGCCTTGGAGTCCCCCCGGACGAGCTGGAGGAGGTGTGTGTGGATAGGGAAGTCTGGGCGTCTCTGCTTAGACTGCTGCCCCCGCGACCCGGCAACGGATGAAGCGGAAGAAAATGGATGGATGGATGGATGGAGACAAAAATGTGTGGAACATAAGTTAAGGGCAATTTATTTGCAAAACCAAAATCTCTATCAACCTCATGCAAAAGCATAAAAAGCTATATTTGGTGTATATATATATATTTGATAAAAGTGACTCAAAAGTAATGCAGTAGTAAAATCAGAATCATTTTTATTGCCATGTAAGTAACAGGAAGTCACAGACTAGGAAATTGCTTTGGCTCTCGGTGCAAACAAGTCAAAAGTAGAGAAAGAATAAAGGCACAATAAAACATTTCTAAAGTAGAGAAAAAGGCGCCATCTTGTTTGAGGAAGTAGTAGAAGTGTAATGCTATAGAATCCTGAGACAGTAATACTATAGTGTCATTACTCATTACTATAATATTATGTATCAGGACGAAATTAAGCACACGTACTACACTTATAAAAGCACATTTATTAACATTTATTGACATTGGTCACCCTGCTACTTATTGACCAATGGCTCCTATGTCTTGATTCTGTTGTTGGCGAATCAACAACTTTGTATAGCCCTCCGAGGTGCCTTCTGTTGTGATTTAGGGCTGGAAGATCTTAAAGTGTTTGGGATTCCCCTTTGTGCTCTCATCCCTCTGAACTCTTAACAAAGATCTAATCAAGAGAAGGTCTTGTCCAGTGTTGGTCCACATGTAGTCCTAGTTCTGTCTGGTTTTGGTCATTGAATATAGTTTAGTCTTGCTTAGTGCTTATTTACTACTGACTTTGTAAACCTGGTTAGTTCCTGGTTTTATTGCCTCTGGTTTAGTCCTGCTATAGTCACGCTATAGTACCTGCCATAGTCCTGCCGTAGACCAGCTTCAGTCCGGGTTCATAGCAGTTTTGTGAATGGACTTGTCACTTCAAAGCTCTTCACACACAAAGGTTTTCCTGGTGCGTATCAGATGACCCAGATTCCAGTTATGCGGACTCCTTTGAGCTTGGTCGCCTCTCAAAAACATACGTAAAAAGTATCTGAAACTATCAAAATTGAGTTCTAGATAAAGCTCAGTGTGCTTCTCCCAAGTGCTGCATTTGTGAGTAGCAGTGGTGGTGGTAGTCAAGGTTAGTAGAAGTAGTAGTACAAAACTACACATGAAGAAACACAAATCATGACTTAAAAACATACCAAAAACACCTTATGTGTCCACTTATCTCATGTTTTTAAAGTTGAATTGAATAGATTGAGCTTTGGGAATAAGTTGTTGGTCGAGTTTTCTTTGACTTAAAATCCTCCCCCCAAATTTCTTTGATGTATTATTTCAGTCCTTGTTCTACAGTACAGCCCGAGTCCAAGAGTTTATTCACAGTTTTGAATGATTTCAGTGTGAATCTACAATTTTCATAGTCATGAAATTAAAAAACCCTTTGAATGAGAAGGTGTGTCCAAACTTTTCGTCTGTCCTGTAAATGGATAAAGTCCAAGCATAGAAAGAAGAATTTGCACACACAATATAATATTTTATGTGTGCATAATTTTGTCATTTACCCGTGCTTGGCTCTGGTATTGCTAAATATCTTCACAGATTGAATTGACTCAAACTGTTATTGCCAGATCCCCGGTTCCATCCGATGCTTTCCACAATGTGTGAGTGACTGTTGGCTCATGAACACTGTCCTGACAGACTCAGTGGGTTTGCTCTGTTTGTTGTTTAGATGCCGACCATAAACATCCGCTGTGTGCATCACTCACGGCCTGAACGCAGCACGCCGTCAGTGGCTTTTGTACCATGACAGACAGAAGCATTCAGAGCGGACACACTGTACGAGCTGAGAGGAGCAGATGGGGGAGGAACATTCATTTAGATGAGACGACAAACTCAGCAGTCCACAACCGGTCCTTTCACCAAACATTTATGTGTTTCTTATATTTCTATTTCCTGTGTTTGAACTATTGGTGAGGAATCAACAAAAGTTGTGATTTAGGGCTGGAAGTTCTAAAAGGACACCTAATGTACTGTATTTCAGATTCCCCTTTGTTCATTTAGACAAGACCACAAACTCCTTTCCCCTAGCATTTATGTGAACACCAGGAGAACGTCTGCGGGTCCAATTCAAATCCAGTGTTTTGTATTCACCAATAGCTGATCAAAAGGTTCATGAATAGAAGTGTGTCGATCAAAAGCCCTGTTTCCTTAAAGTTAGCTTTATTTTCCACTGGCCCTGTTTAACCAGGACTCGATTCTACTCTCCCTGGTTGTGTTTCCAATACGCTTTAGCATCTGGTAATATATTGTAACAACCTTCTCACAACAAACCAGTATTCGTGGAAGTTCCTTGGTAATTTCCAGCAACACTCTTGAGAGGTAGAACACTTTTGTACCAGCTCTGCCTGGATAGAACCAGGGACAAAAGGGACTAAAGAAGGACCTGGTAAAGGTTAAACAGGGCCGGTGGAAGCGCTCTCATTCGGGCAGAGCAGGGTGGAGTAGAGCCTAGGAGAGCAGCGCCAAATAGGGCTGATGGAGACAGTTGAAATCATTTGCATAACAGATTCTACAGAGCGCTGTGACAAGGCACGAGTTTCTGCTGAAAATGTCCGGAAGATGTAACATTGAGAATATGTGCCTTGAACTATTGTTTTTGGAGGGTCAAATAATAAAACAAAAGTGTAACAGCACATAACTCAAGTGGGGGAATATTTGTTTTGTTTGTGCAGCTGGGACGACAGCAGCTCCGTGAGCAGCGGCGTCAGTGACAACATCGACACAGACGACATCAACACCAGTTCATCCATCTCCTCCTACGCCAACACACCAGCAACACACCGCAAACAGGTGAGGACGAAGCAGGTCTACAGCAGGTCTACAGCAGGTCTAAAGCAGGTCTAAAGCAGGTCTAAAGCAGGTCTAAAGCAGGTCTAAAGCAGGTCTACAGCAGGTCTACAGCAGGTCTACAGCATGTCTACAGCATGTCTACAGCATGTCTACAGCATGTCTACAGCAGAACTAAATCAGGAATGAAGCAGGACGAATGAGGACTAAAACCCTAGTCTAAGCATGTTGGGGTCAGCTGTAGTGCAGTGGGACATTCCTGGTCTCAGACTCACATGAGGTGAACGTGATCCTAGAAACACACCACACTTGGTAAACTAGATAAAAACAACACAGAGGCTGTAGGGTTTAGACCTGTTTTAGAGCTTGTTTAGACCTGTTTCAGAGCTGGTTTAGACCTGTTCTAAACCTGGTTTAGACCTGTTCTAGACCTGGTTTAGACCTGTTCTAAACCTGGTTTAGACCTGCTATAATCAGAGTTGAGATCTGGTTCAGGCCTGGTTTAGACCTGGTTTAACCCTTTCATGCATAGTGGTTCTGTACAGTTTTAGACCAGCTTTAGATCTGTCTTGTTTTAAGCTGGCTTTAGACAGAGTTTAGACTGTGTTTAGACCTGTTTTAGACCTGCTTTTGACCTGCTTCAGACCTGGCTCAGTTCCTTGTTCATGTTTGCTCTGTTCCACCTGGACCTGTGTAACTGCCTTTTGTTTACACTTTAAACACAGACAAAACGATCATAATATTATGACAAAGAAAGAGCCTGCTCTTCTCACCTGATTTATTTCTTTAGGTTTGTACAAAGTACAGACGTGAACGTGAACTGCATTTTGGCCGAAACAATATTTTAACTAAATAATTAGACAATAAACAATAATTAAACATTTGTTAACTTTGTTTAAATTGCCTAAAACAAATGTATATTCTACTAAACAACTAACAACTGGAAAAGAAAATTACTCATTTTAAGTAACTCACGGCAGCCTGAAGCCAGACTGAAGCCAGACTGAAGCCAGACTGAAGCCGGACTGAAGCCGGACTGAAGCCGGACTGAAGCCGGACTGAAGCCAGACTAAAGCCGGACTAAAGTCGGACTAAAGTCGGACTAAAGTCGGACTAAAGTCGGACTAAAGTCGGACTAAAGTCGGACTAAAGTCAGACTAAAGTCAGACTAAAGTCAGACTAAAGTCAGACTAAAGTCAGACTAAAGTCAGACTAAAACTGGTCTTTTCCTGGTCCAGACCCTGGGGAGAATACAGACCTAAAGCTTCACTGTGTGTGCGCCAAATAACCCATACATTTATCTAATGCTACTTAGAGTATTTTATAAAAACTACAGCAGCCAAATGTCTTTGACACTCCCTGTGTGTGGTGTGTTTGTAGCCGGTGACTGACGCAGAAAAGCGGGAGGCCTCTGGTCACTGGGGCTCAGATCCTGCAGAAGAACTGGTCCAGAGCTCCAGAGGGTCAGGGAGAAGGAGCCAGAGCACGGCCCAGACTGGAGCTCAGAGCGTGGGTCACACCGGGTCCTGGAGGAGGGGCATGAGTGCGCAGGTCGGAGTCACTTCCCCCAGAACTAAAACCAGCAACAGCACCAGCAAAGGACAGCATACAGGTACTGCAAACACATGTGGCATTCAGCGATGAGGTAACAGATCATCTCTAAGTTTTGAATAGTTTAACTGTTGTGGTTTTCTTTTATGTATTCTGATATCTCTTAAATTACAGGCAGCTTCACATTGTTATTATATAAAACGTTTGACATTTGCACGAGTACTCTTTGACCTGAGAGCTGAATAAAACGTTAGAGTTGGGTATCGGTTCGGCTTCATGCTTACATGACGGTGATACACTGCTCAGCGGGGGCTGTTTCACAGCAGTGTGAAGAAAGGTGTGAATTTGTTGCTGCAATGACCTCACCACTTCGCTGCACCCACATTTGGACATGCGCAGTTACCGAGAACAAACGCAAGTACACTAACTAGCTACGCATGCTTTGAGCGCTACATGGAGGAAGATTCTACTCCTTCGTCCAAACAAAACAACACAAAGCTCTAGTTTCAGTTTCCATTTTTGTAGCTACTGCTAATTGCAGATTGATGTTGGAGAATTCTTTCAAGTCTCTGCGGTGGCCTGAAGAGGATGTTGTTGAGTGAATACACTGCTGGGGGTCTCATGTGTCATGTTGTAAAGTTCCACTGCCCACTCTTGACCGGGCGGTAGAACTACATTGTTTTCACGCTTCATCTAAACGCTCTGCAGGAGCCTGGTCGTTCTGTTATTGCTCTGCAGCGTCTCTGCAGAGTCTTGTGGTATTGATAGTGGACAAACATACATGCTAGAGATAGGAACAAGTTGGATGCATCAAGTGTCTCCCCACTGAGCTTGATGAAGCAAGATTGATTTTCACTCATTTCCAGATATTTATGAGCCTAGGGTGATATGTCGTCTTCTCGTAGGAGTGCTGTGGTTATGATTGTCTAGAGTCTTTTATTGGGCTGAATGTCTCTCATATAGAGTCTGCACTTTTGAACCAATCAGTTTATCCTGACAGGAATTTGACAAGAATTTGATGAGAAAAAACAAAATCCAATTCCAGATTAACAATGTTTCCGCAATGGAGCTGAATGATTACTGCGTTTGTGAAACATGAGGAAGAGCTTCTGCTGGAATGGTGAACACGCTAAAAGCTTCCGTTCGCGAGTACGTCATCAACGTGTCGCCATTCCTGCTTGTTCTGTGATTGGTCCCGAATCCATGTGAACAATTTGGCCTGAGTTTCCAAGTTGTTGTACAGTTTCAAATGATTAGCATGTTCCCAGCAGCTTGGGGATTCCCAGGCTGGGCAGCACAGTGGCTGAGTGGTTAGCACTCTCTCTTCTTAGCAAGAAGGTCCTGGGTTCGATTACACCTCCTCCTGACTGGAGTTTGAATTTTCTCCCCATGTCAGCGTAGGTTTCCTAAAGGTGCTCCCGTTTTCCCTACCACTAAAAACATGTACAGTATGATGTTTCCCTTCTTTCTGGGGTCAGTACAATCTTGAAAGAGAGATTCTGAGAAAAAAGACAACTTTTTCTCACTAGGTTAACCAATTAAACTAGATAAATAAATTAACCTAGAGAGAAGAACTTCGTCAAGCTTTTCCTCAAAGGACCAGTATAGCTTCAAGTTTTCATTCCAACCAAGTAGGAGCACACCAGACTCCACCCAGAAATGTCTGGACTAAAATCCTGCAGCCACACCGGCCCTTTCTGAAATCAATCTGACCCCTGTCTAGTCCAAATACAGTACCTACAGCTTGACTTGTTACCTGACTAGACATTCAATGATGCTCAGTTTGTTATTGTTCCTATTTCAGTGAAAACAGACGATGTGAAAGTGTCGGAGAAGGGTCGAGTGTCTCCGGTGTCTGACGCTGCAGACGAACTGAAAAAGTCTCTGTTGTGTACAAACCGTGGCTCCACAAACCTGCTGATGCCGACCGCACTCCCAGAGCCCTGTGCCCGCACGCCAACCTCAGCCTCCTCTTTTGGGTACAAGAAGTCCGGAACCCTGGTGACGGCGAGCGGAGCCACCATCACCAGCGGGTCTGCCACACTGGGGAAACTGCCCAAGTCTGGCACCAGGCCACTCACCGGAGGTACACACACACACCAAACAAAATTTCTATAAAACAGACCTTAGCAAAGTGCGGCCCAAGGGTTACATCCGGCCCGATTCAAATTGGGGCTCGTTTCCAGCCATTAACCTCAAACCGGTCTGTTGCTTGATTAAATTAATACACAGTGAAAGCCTGTTGACTGACTTGTTGAAAGCTGACTTGATATGTAGGACTATTAGGGCTGCACAAAAGAAAATAGAAAATGATCTGCTCTAAACAAAATCTCCAAAAACGCAAAGAAAACACTAAATAATGTCTTTTACATTGTTATACTCAAGAAGCTTATATCAAAAAATGTAAAATAACCCACATGAAAACTGGTCCGGCCCCTCACAACGGCAATATCCCTATGTGCCCCCCAAAGAAAAGGATTGCCCACCCTTGCTATAGAGGCTTCTATGGGTAGGAAAAATACATTTTGACATCACGTCGTCTGTTTCTTGGCTGGAAGAGAAGAGACGTAACTTCAGTTGTTTAATAATGATCTGTTACTTTTCTTTTATTTTATACTCTCCAAAATCTCATCAGCTGTCGTCTCAAATGACTTCACAAAATTGTTGATTTTTTCAAATAGCAATACAGATAGCAATTTGAATAGCAATTTGCAATTAGATATACATTTAAATTAAATAGGGCTGAACTTTTTTATTGTTTTTTAAAATAATTGATTAGCTATAGTTAATCAATTAGATTCAATGTATTTGTGTATAGGCCTAAATCACAACAGCAGTCATCTCGAAGTTGTCGGACAGTTCAAACACAGGAAATGCAATAATAACAAACATATACTGTAGAGCCATTAGTCCATTGGGAGCGGGATGACCACTGTCAACAAATATTGATAAATGTCCTTAAATTTTAAGGATCATCACTGTCCTTAGACCCTCCTGCATCGACAAGGAACCACAAAAAATGTGAGACCCTTTTGGAGGCCATTTTGAGAGAGAGATTCGCCTCCATGAATGGACAGGCTAAAGAGCCAGGACTGAGGCTGTAGATCCAGGACTGAGGCTGTAGATTTAGGACTGAGGCTGTAGATCCAGGACTGAGGCTGTAGATTTAGGACTGAGGCTGTAGATCCAGGACTGAGGCTGTAGATTTAGGACTGAGGCTGTAGATCCACGACTGAGGCTGAAGATCAGGACTTTTTCTTTATTATGTACAGCCCAAAATCACAATAGTTGTCTTGAAGGACTTCACTAAATGGTTGATTTTGCTAAAGCAGATTTGAAAAAAAACAAACAATTGAATTAAATCGACCTGTAGTTAACCCTTATTTTTTAATATTGATTAGCTAAAAATAATTGATTGACTTGTTGCTGTTATTAGTTTAATAAAAAATACATTGTGTTCAAACACTTTCGGTAAGTTACTTCTTACTTACTGAAGTGAAGTGATGCTCTTGATTCAACTGTTCACAGTTCAACCCTCAGGAAACATCTCCATCATGTGTTACTGTTTGTCCGAGCGTGTGACTTCAACTACATTGTGTGATTGCAAACAGCCATTGACCCGGCCAAATATGTTTTTGGACTGAATATCTATAGAAAGTCATAGATATGGCTTCACAAAGCACTTGCAATTTACATCATAAAGAACTTCCTTCAACAAGCTTTAAATGTGCCTTTGCGTCATCTACAGGTGGAGGTGTGAAGTCCGGACAGGAAGTGGCTGGTACCCTCGTTCACCATGATGACTCGTTCTTACCCATGAGCGCTCGGGGCACTTTGCAGTACCGCAGTCTACCCAGGCCGGGACGCTCCGGAGCCGCAGCGAGGAACGGGAACAGGTCTTCCACCAGCAGCATCGAAGCAGCCGTGCTCTCTGTGACCAAGAGCTCTGGGCCCCTGGGAAAACTGACCAATCAGACGGACAGAGAGAAGGGGGCGGAGCCTGCAGCCGGTACGGGTGGAAGGCAGGTGTCCTCGCCGACGTTACGCAGGTGAAAGACCAAAACATGTTTGTTAGTTAGTTTAGTCTTATATGAAAGTGCAGATTATAGCAACACAGATAATTTCCATCTGCAGTCCTCGGATACATGAAAACACAATACAATGATGTAAAAAACAATGACAAAAATAGGAATGTACATAGCATACTAACACACACACACACACACACACACACACAGACACAGAAACACACCTGTACATTACAACCACATCCCACATCCCACGCTCACAACATCACACAGACAATACATCCTCTCATTCAAATCACTAATCATAAAATTGATACACACATTTCATACTGAAAACATAAGTGATAATAATTATTATAATACACAGGGGTACACATAACAGGTACGCATGTAAAAAAAAATCAGAAATGCGTACTATCACTTGAGTTAGTAAGCACCTTAGTGTACATCACATAGACCAGTCCTTCTCAAATAGTGGGGCGCTCCCTATAGGGGGGCGGGGGCGTGTGACAATTTTTATTAAATGGGGACATATGTACACAATCAACATGTGAAACACTACAGCATTTATAGCCAAGGTTAACTTGCAATGTTTGTCCCCAGAAGGTTTTAAACACAATTAAAACACATTTCACATTGTTACATTCTCATTATAAAAGGCAGATGGAAAGGTAGCAAGCCCAAACACAAATGAGGCCACGGTGGATCTGAAGCTCGCTAACCTCACATGACCTGGAGGCAGATGTGTGTTGGTCATGACTGCTCAAACATGTAGCACTTTGGGCGCTCTGTTCCAGTCCGTGCAGCACAGATTACATGAGGCTGAGGAGTTTGGGGCTGTGTGTCAACAACGACTTCATTGTTCCAGACAAAGCACCGGCTCATGTCTCAGACTAACTCCCTCCTTTCATCCTGGATCAGAACAACAGTCTCTCACTATTTACCTTTTGTAAGAAATGAGCTTCAAAGTAAACATCTTTTTCAATGTTCTTAAGGTTTTCTTTCTCATCTCATTGAAGTTGTAATAAGAGTTTATGTTCTACTGTTCCCTAGTTTCTCCTCCTTGGCCACAATGCTTCTATTCTTTCTGTACTTTGTGTCACAGTGGTCCCTCGCTATTTTGCATATTTGTTATGCCGTGTGCTTATACCACTAGTATAAATATAAGAAAATGTTTGTGGCTCTCTGGTCTCTCTTTCTTTCTGTCTGGTCTCTTTCTGGTCAATCTATCTGGTCTCTCTCTCTGATCTCTCTCTCTGATCTCTCTCTCTGGTCTCTCTCTCATCCCTCACTGGTATCTCTTTGGTCTTTCCATCTGGTTTCTCTCTCTGGTCTTTCTCTCTGATCTCTCTTCCTGATCTCTCTCCCTGATCTCTCTCTCTCTGGTCTCTCGCTCTGATCTCTCTCCCTGGTCTCTCTCTCTGATCTCTCTCCCTGGTCTCTCTCCCTGATCTCTCTCTCTGATCTCTCTCTCTGATCTCTCTCCCTGGTCTCTCTCTCTGATCTCTCTCCCTGGTCTCTCTCTCTGATCTTTCTCTCTGATCTTTCTCCCTGGTCTCTCGCCCTGATCTCTCTCTCTGATCTCTCTCCCTGGTCTCGCTCTCTGATCTCTCTCTCTGATCTCTCTCTCTGATCTCTCTCTCTGATCTCTCTCCCCGGTCTCGCTCTCTGATCTCTCTCTCTGGTCTTTCTTCCTGATCTCTCTCTCTGATCTCTCTCTCTCTGATCTCTCTCCCTGGTCTCTCTCTCTGATCTTTCTCTCTGATCTTTCTCCCTGGTCTCTCGCCCTGATCTCTCTCTCTGATCTCTCTCTCTGATCTCTCTCCCCGGTCTCGCTCTCTGATCTCTCTCTCTGGTCTTTCTTCCTGATCTCTCTCTCTGATCTCTCTCCCCGGTCTCGCTCTCTGATCTCTCTCTCTGATCTCTCTCCCTGGTCTCTCTCTCTGATCTTTCTCTCTGATCTTTCTCCCTGGTCTCTCGCCCTGATCTCTCTCTCTGATCTCTCTCCCTGGTCTCGCTCTCTGATCTCTCTCTCTAATCTCTCTCCCTGGTCTCTCTCTCTGATCTTTCTCTCTGGTCTTTCTTCCTGATCTCTCTCCCTGGTCTCTCTCTCTGATCTTTCTCCCTGGTCTCTCGCCCTGATCTCTCTCTCTGATCTCTCTCCCTGGTCTCGCTCTCTGATCTCTCTCTCTGATCTCTCTCCCTGGTCTCTCTCTCTGATCTCTCTCTCTGATCTCTCTCCCTGGTCTCTCTCTCTGGTCTCTCTCTGGTCTTTTTCTGGTCTCTCATTGATATCTCTTTGGTCTCTCTATCTGGTCTCTGTCCCTTTCGGTCATTTGTTGTGCATTCTCCAACAACATTATATAACCGCTAGTATAACATGACATTTACCTTTATTTGAAGTCAGAAGAAAACGTTAGTGGTTTGTGTGCACTGCAGTGATAAGAGGACTCTCGCGGTATTTCAACATGTCTTCTGTAGCTGTAAATTACAGTGAATGCACGGCTTTTTGACAACTGCAGCATCGCTCAGACCTACAACCAAAGGGTTCAACATCCCATAACACTTTATACACTTCTAACCACTTCAACTGCTAAAGTGTGTGGTGAGGGGTTTACAGCCTTAAAACATACAGCTGCTCCTTCCAGCATATCGCTTATTGCAGGTTATTTTTAGAACGTAACCCCCGCAATAAAGCAGGCATTGGGGGGAAAGAAATAGGATGACGTTGTCGTTTACTATGGTAGTTAGAAGAAATAGAGATTTGCCCTTTTTAAATGTTGGCCATTTGTTTTACTATTTTGTTTTTTGGTTATCATTGAAGAGTTGTCTGTGATATGGTGTATAAAAACCTACCATTTGTGTCAGTGGGGAAATAGAAAAAAAGCCTGAAAAAGCCTGGTTAAAAACTCCTAAATTAATTACTGTATCTGTCTTATGTGCACAGACTGTTTGGAGGAAAGTCCAGTAAACAGACACCGCTCACCAGCGCCGAAAACATGAAGAATTCTACGATCATCTCCAACCCTCATGTGTCCAGCGCAGAAGTCCATCCGGCAGACGGCGAACAGGTCACTAACCCTAAAACACAAATGCACTGAAGTGAGGCTTCCAGGACCATTGTATTTCCTTCATTAATGTTATTAGTAATGTCATTCTGAATACCATTATTTCCAGAGACAGAGAAACTATAGAGGATAGACCAAGCCCCATGTCTCCAAGATGTCTGCCCGTTTAGATAAATGTCCTTTGCTCACTAGCTCATGCTCGCTCCAAGGCTGTCCCAAACATTAGCAGAAGTTTTGGTCTGGCCAGCTCTGGTTCTCCTGGTCTTGTGCAGTAGTTCCACTTCTGCAGGACCATAGTGACACGTAAGCTGTAACCAATCAGAGCTCTGCAGAGAGACCAGAGAGAGAGACCGGAGAGAGAGACCGGAGAGAGAGACCAGAGGGAGAGACTAGAGGGAGTTACGAGAGGGAGTGACGAGAGGCAGTGACGAGAGGGAGCGACGAGAGGGAGCGACGAGAGGGAGCGACGAGAGGGAGCGACGAGAGGGAGCGACGAGAGGGAGCGACGAGAGGGAGCGACGAGAGGGAGAGACGAGAGGGAGAGACGAGAGGGAGAGACTAGAAGGACAAGAGAGAGTGTCTGTGGATTTATAGATACCAAATCTAACCTTTGTGAAAGCTTTACGTTCCCTGTCAGATGCTGTCACGAGCCGTTTTAGGGAACTAATAGTGTATTAACTTCCCACTTATTATTATATTTTTAGTCATAGACATTTAGATTAATATCATTTGCCATTTGTAGTAAAACCACATTGGAATACAGGTGCACCAGATGAATATATAAAATAAAACAAGCTTAAAAATAACACAAAACAATTGTCACCGTGAAAACAATCAACAAAAACAGCTTCTGTACAAACTGTAGGTCCAGACCTCACCTTTTGTCTGACATATAACTTGTGGTGTCCAGGCCTCCACCCCTGGCTCGGCCTACTCCACTGGTCCCTCTGGCAGCCTGACCTGGGGCACGTCCCTTAGCAGTTCGTCGGGCCCCAGCAGAGAGGGCACTCTGGGACCCGGGGGGAGCGTGGGTAGTGCGGGCTACGCCTCTCTCAGCAGCATGCACACGAGCAGTGACTCCATCGACGACACAGCTGCCCTGGGACGCACAGGCAGCAAGGCCGGCGTGAGCGACAGGTGAGAGGAGACTGACATTGTAGTCTTTTAATGGTGGGACAGAAGCCTTGGGGAACTTTTTGTTTGTTTTGTTTTTTACCTAATAGAGCAGTATGTAAAAATCTGGCCAAACGTGGTACTGCAATCTCTCCAACTCTCCCTTACTCAGGTTGCCAGATATGCAGACAAATCCAGCTGGGACCATTATATCTGATTAGACAAGAGTTTCGTCTACAACAAATCTATAACCAACACCTTTTTTCACAAAGATAGAAATGCAGCCACATGTTACTTTACCAGTGAGATTAGCTTGACGCGGTGAGTTCTGGCATTCTGGATCACGGACTTTCTGATTGGTAAAACGGTGGACGGCGGGACATCATCTGTAAAACTAATTTTGAAATTAAAATATGAAATATATTGAAATATTAGGGCCATTTAATGATGACTTGACTTAATAATCTTACATATTGCTACTTTAATAGATCCTTTTTTATGTGTGCTTGACCTGATAATTGTGCGCAATTATGACATTGATCAAAGTTTGAAGAAAATGTCAATATACAGGAAGTACTGTAGAGTTCTAACTTGGAATTCACCGCTTGTGATGTACTCAAAATCAAGCCAGTATATTACATACTAAATATTTATTCAACAAGCTAAAGGTGTTGCTTCATATTGCTTTATTATTTCAAACCTATTGAGCTTTAACCCGTGTTTAGTTGCTATGGTATCTACTGAGTATGTCACATTTGCAGAAACTGTCAGGAGCACATCTGAGCCGGCAGGATCTGTCTGCATGGTTAACCATATATGTGTTTAAAAAGGCTGCCTGTGATGTCACTGATCGGACAGATTAAAATCAAAGTGATGGGGCTAGTTTGTGCTCATTTCAATAATCGGCTCTGGGTTTTGATCAGAGAAGTAGTTTTTGTCTTAAAGAAGAAATATTAGGCTTTATTTGTGGACATTAGAAATTATGAGATTTTGTACTTGTACTTCCCTATGCTATCATCAGGGGGAGGAGTAAGATTTGTTTTGGTTTATTTCTCCTAACACAGTCATGTGATTATAGATATCACCATTCATCAAATTTGCATATTATGTCTCTTAAATAACAGTGCGGCCCCTGCGGCTCAGATGTGATCAGCTCTGTGTTTCTTCTCTGAACCTTTTCTCTCTTCTGGCCTCAGTCCTGTGCCCTCTCCTTCGGCCTCTCCTCTTTTCTCTCGTAACACGTTGCCTCGGAAACAGGAAAGGTAAAAAAAACTTGGTTTAAACACAGGTGCTGCCACACAGAACTGAATACAGATGCTTCCCTCAAAAGGAACTTCTTTTCTCACTGCAAAAATCATTTAAAATGTAAGTGAACAGTAATGTCGGGGTTTGACGCAGCTCAAACTTTTCCAACAATTTTCATGTATTAGATCAGATTAAGTTTATTTGCCATTTGCAGTAAAATCACATTGGAATACATGTGCTAAGGGGTACAAAGTACCATTTTGTCCACCATACAAGTACATAAATGTTATTTTTACTCATGTTGAGTTTCAACAATGACCGTTCATTTATTGATTGTTTGGAATGGGAGAACCACAAACTAAACCATAAACCAAAACACATAAAAACACCAGTGAGAAAAGGCTGTAGAATATCTAAAGATATGATAGAGGTCCATTATACATGCAGGTGAACACTAGGGATAGAAGCAATCTGGGTTTTTATGTGTTTTTATGTGGTTTCAAAGTTGGATACACCAGCTTTAAATGCGTTAGCAATATACAGATGAACAGCTCTGTGTGGCAGCCGTGTGCAGTGCTGTGTTTCGTCCCACTCTTCTGTCTGTGTCATGTCTCTGGGGAAAAAAGCTCCATAGTGCCACGTTTTAGCCATTTTCTTAGCCATAAGATTAATTCATTTAATCTTCAGTTTATTGAAGCCATGTGATTACAAACACATTCTATTCCTGGAGATATTCCCGTCCAATGCACAGACCTGTTCTGTTTCGTGATTCTGTTCCTGCTCTGATCGTATGTGAATTGTTTATTCTCAGTTCGTTGAGTGGTGGTCGAAACACGCTGCCAAAGAAAGCGCTCAGGTATCTGCTTCCCCCTGCTGGCCGCTCTGTGCTGGTGCACGCCTCCTTTAACATGTCCATCCATCCATCCATCCATTTTCTTCCCCTTAATCCATTTCTGGGTCGGGGGGGTTGCAGTCAGAGCTGCACCCAGGACACAGAGCACCAGCCCCTCACTGATCCTCCTGCAGGTGGTGAGTCCACAGGAGCTGAGATCTTTCAGTGGGGGCTTTAGGCAAAGTGGGGTTAAGTGTCTTGCCCAAGGACACAACGGCAGTAGTCATCAGTGGGAGTTGTGAAGTAGGTCTTATGGTGGGCTTGAACCCACAACCTTCAGGCCCAAAGGCCAATGCTCTACCAACTGAGCTACTGTCGCCCCTCCTTTAACATGTGTCTGCTGTAATTGTGCTTCACATTGCAAACATCACTGTCTCTGTGACTTTAACTCAGGCTCATACTGAGCTACTCTTTATTCACTTAAATCTACAGATTTCAAATCAGGTCAGAAATCTGGGGGTAAGAATTGACTCAGTCTTGAATTTTAATAGCCACATAACAACACAGTAACAACAGCAGCTATTTACCACCTGTAAAAAATTGTCAGAATCAAAAATATGGTGTCTAAAGTAGACTTGGAGATTTTTATCCTGCATTTGTCTCCAATAGTTTAGACTACTGTCACAGCCTGCTCAAAGATCTCTCCAAACAGCTGCAGTATATTCAAAACGTTGCAGCTCCAGTCCTGACTAGGACCAGGAAGTACTTTCACATTAGTCCAGTTCTCAGTTCTCTGCACTAGATTCCTGTGGCTCAGAGAATAAACTTTAAAGCAGCTCTCCTTGTGTACAAGTTTCTCCATGGCCTCGCACCAAAGTACATCTGACATGTTAGTGCCATATGAACCTACTCGGAGACTTGCCTCCTGCGGGGATTCTGAGTAGCACAGGTTGCGTTTTGAAAACACGTCAGCAGTTTTACAGATGCACAATATACAAGCAGTCACTTCAGCAGGAGTTCTGATTAGATCATGTAGGCTTGTGCTGCGGTCTCTTGTGCCGTTTGTGAGTGGCATTTTGTTGTTTTTAATGTTAATGTTGTGTTGATCAGTTAAAGTTTTCATCCTCAGTCTGACTCTGATCATTCAGATGTGTGCTGGGAAAACCCTTTCTCTCTCGGTGCTTCATGTGTTTATTTTGCTCTTTTTGTAAGTGATTCTGCACAGTTCTCACATTCTTGCTCCTCCTCTTGTTGTGTATTTTGACTCCTGGATACTCCTCGCCTAGTCTATCAATAGTAGAACAAGAATCTAAGGAGGAGAAGGAGAAGAAAAATGATCATATTTGAAACATATGAAAATAATGACTTTGCCATTTTTCATTTCATGTTTAGGAAAGTTTTTTATGGATAAACATGAAACATTTAGTCAAACGTAACATATCAAGTGGTAGAAATAAAACATGGTTCGATAATCCCAAATGACCGCCAGAGGGAGGAGCTCAGAGAATATATATGACTGGCACTACCAGTCATGATATTCATAAAGCTATTCAGTGGGAAAAATTGTTTCATAATGCTATTTGACCAACTTGAATTAAACATTCAATGAGAATGTAATTGGCTCAGTCAGTCCAATCATATGATATGTCACCCACGGATTATTACGGCTGTGCAATAGAAAAAGAGGAGATACAGCTAAGAATAAATAAATAAGAAAAAAGTTAATAAGAAGGGCATTCATGCGTCCCAAAAGGTTCTGCTTTCATTCAACTACTGACCCCAGAGCAGGAGCTAAACAATTTCCCAACATCCCTTTTTCCTTGTGGGTTATATCTGTTTATTTGTGTGTGTCTGTCTATGTCTGGAACAGAATCTGAAAGTGTATACCTAAATTGGGGTGAAATATTGTTCCCGTCTACATGGTAACCTAATGATTCCCCTGAAATTCATGGTGGATTCTCACCTGTTTCACTGTTGTTGTGTCCTGACTTGTGATTGGTCCGTTTGGCAGGTATGGTCCCGCCCCTTCTATGCGCTGCTCAGATGAGGCCCGCGATTGGCTGAGATCTCACTCCATCAGCGGACTGCAGGACTCTATTGGCTCCTCCCCCTTTTCACCTGGCTCCAGCGTGACCTCGCCCACAGCCACCAGATTCAACTTTGGTAAGACCACTATGTAATAACATCAATAGACTACTATGAAATAACATAATAATAATAATTATGCATCGGTTTTATATAGAGCTTTTTTGGACACTCAAAGACGCTTCACATGTGTCATTGTTCTTTCACTCCATACACGGTGGTGATAAACTTCTACTGTAGCCACAGCTGCCTTGGGGCACACTGACAGAAGCAAGGCAACCAGTATGTGCCATCGGCCCCTCCGACCACCACCAACCATTCACACACACACCAGACTCATTCTAGGCAATGGGGGTGAAGTGTCTTGCCTAAGGACACAACGACAGTTTGGCACTTTACAGTCACAGCCGCCCCACTGTGGCTGCTGTTCCCAGAGGTTAAGTGTCTTGCCAAGGACACAACGACAGCAGACAGTGGGAGCCGATGGTGAAAGTCGGGCTCGAACCCATGACCCTCTTGCTCAAAGGCCAAAGCTCTTTTGGTAGAGCATAGACCACTATGTAATAGCATCATAGACACCTATATAATAACATCATAGACCACTATGTAATAACATCATAGACCACTAGGTAATAACATCATAGACCACTAGGTAGTAACATCATAGACCACTAGGTAATAACATCATAGACCACTAGGTAATAACATCATAGACCACTAGGTAATAACATCATAGACCACTAGGTAGTAACATCATAGACCACTAGGTAATAACATCATAGACCACTAGGTAGTAACATCATAGACCACTAGGTAATAACATCATAGACCACTAGGTAATAACATCATAGACCACTAGGTAATAACATCATAGACCACTAGGTAGTAACATCCATCTAATAACTCAAAACAGTTTGGCATGAGTGCAAGTTTTCATCATGGATCTATTATAATAACAGTTTTCATGCATGCCTCAGTTCAGCTTTTTAGGACAGGAAAATGCAAGTGAGTGCAGGACTTAAAAGGGTATAAATTGGGTCTAAAGCAGGTTTAAATTTAGCAGGTGTAAAACAGGTCTAAAGCAGGACTAAAGCTGGTCTACGCTCTCTCCGTCTTGCAGCCTCCAGTCCCACCTCTGCCACTCAGATGGCCCTCACTGGCCACAGGACCAACAGTCTGACCCAGGACCCTCTGGAGCAGAGCGAGGCCCGTCTCCGTACCTCCTGTATGTCTCTGGACGACAAGAACCGCACCATGAGCCGCTCCGGCTCCTTCAGGGACGGCTTTGAAGAAGGTGAGAGAGCATGCAACAACCCATCATCCAACGTAGTATTCAACTCAGCGCTCAAACTTTGCTAGAGCACACCCTACTCCACCTTTATCCTTAAGTCTGATATTTTCAGCGATCACACCAGGACTTCGAGAACCAGTTTGTATATCCCTGATCTAATGAATGATTGTGATTCAGATAATTCGAGACTCTGACCAGGAGAGATCTTTTTGTTTATGGGATACAGAATATTTCACTGGTTTGACTGTGAAAGACAACTTGCAAGTTTTTGTTTGAAATAAGAGAATATGTGTTTATAAAAAAGCATGAATAGGTTTCATCTTCCTCATAAAACTGAACTTGTCCAAAATTTCAGAAATGTGAAAACTCTAGAACGGGCATGTCCAAACTAAGGCCCGCGGGCCAGTTGCGGCCCTCTCGGTCATGTTATATGGGTTAGGGTTAGGGTTATGTCTTGCTAACAATACCTCATTTGAAAGCTGTAGAATCCAGCTGTTGACTTTATTTGTATATACTGACATTTTATTTTTGATTGTGTCACAAAATGTTATCAAGTGCCTGTTGTCATTGATGACTCCCATGGGCAGATTGGAGTGCAAGTTTCTTGGTTTAACTCTGTCTAATGACCTGAAATGGGACAAAAACACAACTTGTCAACGTCCCTTCTTTCTGCAGAAACTTGCACACTAGAGCACTTTTGCACATGCATTCCAGTGTAGCCCTCTTGCTAAAGAGTTTGCTCTTGAAAAATATATTTATTTGTGGTTGTAGTGTGTGAAAACATCTGATAGAAACACATGAACATCCATTAGACAAAGAAGCAGATTACAGGTTATAGTAAAAAAGTCTCAATGTTTGGCTTCAGTCCCACCATGAGCCGGGTGCACAGACGTTTATGATGATTACAGGGGTGGCGCTCTTGGCTTTAACTTCAAACCGCTTTACTTCTGAACTCATTGCATGGTTTCCCTGCAGCCCACAGGTGAGATATGGGTTCCATTCCCAGCTGTGGTCATAGAAATACACATTTTTGCCGCGGTGACAGATAGAGTTTCGTGTTGAGTGAAGAGACAGAGGTGTCATGTGTGTTTGTGTCACACCCTGCTCAGAAATCACCTCAAATCAAACCCCTGTCTCCAGTGTCCAGACCAGAATCCTTTTAAAGATAAGAGAACCTTTAACAACTCTGGACTTCTTTTTACTTTTTTGTCAAGATGTCTACAATGCTTCTGAAATATGCGAGAATTACATTTAATAAATAAAATCATTAAAAAGGCGTTTCCCTTTCTGTTTGTGTTTCAGCTCACGGCTCGTCTCTGTCTCTGGTGTCCAGCTCGTCCTCCATCTACTCCACGGTGAGGACTTTAGAGTGGAGCAGTGTTGTGTGCAGTGGCACTGGACAGACACTGGGGGCGCCACACAGTGTATTTGGTCAGGAGTAATGTAGTGACTGTATCGTGACCGAAAAAGATTTACTTTATTTGTCTGGTCACACATTTCTTTTATTACTCATCACACAATACTCACAAGTCAGTTTCATAGGTTCAGACCTTGTTTAGACCAGGGGTTAAAGCAAAAAAAAAAAAAATGGACTGAAAATTTTTGCATGGAAATTTATCACATGTAAATCACAGTAATATGCAAGACCAAGTTATATTTTTAATTACAATATATTATTGTATAATAGATTGTATATTGCAGCCATTCCCAAACTCAGTAACACCGAGGCCCCCTTAAAAATCTGACGGGTCTGCGTGGCCCCCCAAAATAATAACCAAGAAGACAACATTAAGAATAGGCTCTTCTGGTTATTTTATTTTGGGGAAATAGCCTCTGCTACAAACATTGTAATACAAAAATGATTACAGTGGATTATTCAAGTCAAATAATGAACACAAATATTTTAATATTACAAACAAAACATTATAAATTTAACATTAAATAATTATATTATTTTTTTATTTTTTTTATGACCTCCCGCGGCCCCCCTGCAGTACCCACTTTGGGAGACACTGGTATATTGAATACAGCTCAAATGAATTCTTCAAAGATATACAGTGTATTTTGATATGAAATATAAGTGCAGGGGTTAAAGCAAAAAAAAAAGATTTGACTGAAAATTTTTGCATGGAAATTTATCACATGTAAATCACAGTAATATGCAGGACCAAGTTATATTTTTAATTACAATATATTATTGTATAATAGATTGTATATTGAATACAGCTCAAATGAATTCTTCAAAGATATACAGTGTATTTTGATATGAAATATAAGTGGATCAAGCAACGAGTCAACTTTTTGACAGAATATTAGTGAGAGTAGCTTTACTTGAGGCGATATGGAGCGTCAACACTTTGGCTCTGTCCTCGTCAAAATATCGCAAAAGGACGATAAAATTCTGTCCACATTTGTTTGTGGACACGTCAATATTTAAGAAAAAGGTTTCCCTATCAAGTTTGAGTGCACAGTGCACTTCGATCAACTGCAAATGATTTAAATAAATCTACCAGCGGTAGTGATATTCTGAACGTTATTTTCTGCGATAAAGCCACAGACACGGTCCGCCAGAGCAAGCCTAGTGTCAGTTGTTGCTGATGCACCAGGTAAAGATGAAGTGTGGGAAAGTGCACAAACAGCTGCCTTGTGCGCAGTTTTGAGCTGGTGGCGAATCAAAACTTTTTTCTCATTACTCCCATATATGCAATTTTTTATGGCAAAGTACGCACAAGCACCGGCCACTTTCATCTTTTCGCACCATGACTCGTTGATTGGCTCTTTTACATCACGCTGAGTTTTGCAAGAAGATCGCAAACAAGACAATATCAAAAGCTCACCAAGACATGTTTGTCCCCATTCCCAGTCGCAGCAAAGTCCGTTTTGTACATTCCGTTAAGTAAAATAGCATTGCGTTTGGTAAACGTTAATTACCTTTCCTCTATTACGCGCCCAGCTTACCAGCTGTTATTGCTCCGTTCAAGATTCAATTTTCCTCCTCTTCTCCTTTTCAAAAGCTCCGTGCAGTTTCCAGAAACTTTCACCTCCGTGTTACCAATGCTAACTTCATCGCGTCTTCATTTGCGCGTGAGCTCAGCTACGTCCCATTGCCTTGATTCATTTGCGGAGCGCTCATGTGGCCACGGCACGTTCAAGGCCCACTCGTGATTATATTACTTATTATTTCTATATACATATAAATACAATTATATTCAAATTATTATTATACATCGAGATTATATATATATATATATATATATATATATATATATATATATATATATATATATATATATATATATATATATATATTATATAGATTCACACGTATATGTATTACTATATATTATTTTTATAATCAATCATTTCATTGTGTGTATTATTATCATTATATATATATATATATATATTTTTTTCCAGACCAATTTCATTTGACGGAAATCCGTCACCTAGACGGAACTCTTTAATCCCTGGTTTAGACCTTTTTCAGACAAGGTTGAGTCCTTGTTCAGACCTGGCTCAGACCTGGCTCAGACCTGGCTCAGACCTGGCTCAGACCTGGCTCAGACCTGGTTCTGACCTGGTTCTGACCTGGTTCAGACCTGACTAAGACCTGGTTCAGACCTGGTTCAGACCTGGTTCAGACTTGGCTCAGACCTGGTTCAGACCTGGTTCAGACCTGGTTCAGACCTGGTTCAGACCTGGTTCAGACTTGGTTCAGACTTGGTTCAGACCTGGCTCAGTTTCGTATCTTGCAGTAGCTGTAATCTCAGTCCTTGTAAAACCTTTTCAAACGGCTGCAGTGACACAGCACCTCGGGGGTTAAATCTCATGTTTCCGCTGCGGTTCACTCGGTTCAACCCGCTTTGGAGTTGCAGCCAATCAGAGTGCAGCTGCTGCCTAAGCCCCGCCCCCTTACCTGGGCAGGTAGCAGTGCTCTCACATACAGATGCACAATGATGATGGCCGCACTTTCCTCCGGCGGCTGGAAGCTTACGGTAAGAAACATGCCTCAAGGGATCTCAGAGGAAACAGATGAATACTGAGAGACTCTTGAGAGAGACCTGGTTCAGACCGCGTTCTGTCCTGGTTCAGACCTGCTTGAGTCCTAGTTTAGATTTGGGAAGACCTGCTTGTTTAAACCTGGTGAATACCTACTTTAGTCCTTGCGTAGACTTGGTTCAGTACTGGTTCTTTGCATGTTCTTTGAGAGAATAACTGTTCTTTTTTCAACAATGTATGCAATTTGCATGAGTTAGGGCTGGCCGATGTGGCCAGAAAATGATATTACAATAGAAGATGGAAAAATCATTATAACTATATCATTCACCATATAAATAGCACTGGGGAAAATCTTCAAAGCTGTTTAACTTTATAATAAAATACAAAAGAATGCCTATGTAATAAATCCATCTTATCGCTCTCAAAAATGTTTTTCTTTCTCTCACTAGTTTTCACTTGCATGTATTTTTGGATTCAAATCTTCAAATCGCCTTTTTTGGACAAAAATGTGAAAAGGGAGGACCACCCTCACTCAGCCAATTATCTCTGAGCTCTCTAATCAGATAAAGACAGCATGTTGTTGTCTGGTTTGTTTACAAAATGTTGGTTTTCCAAAACACTTTCTGTTGGGATAAACAAATGTAATGAAGAAAGCCAAAAAGTCAGGTAGCCTCACAGCGGCTGTCATCAGTAGCCTGTTAGCGGACTTGAAAGCTCACGCACAGTTTTCCGGTGACTCTGCTTGAGGATGTTTAATGGAACAGCTCCTGACTTGTTTCTTATGTTTTTCAGAACGAGGAGAAGTCTCAGTCGGAGGTAAGTGCTCACTTCTCTCTGCTCTGCCCTCTGCTGAGGCTGTAATCATGTCTCACACCTGGTCTCACCCTGCGCGCACACACCTATCTCACACACGCACACCCACACACTCTCGCACACCTAACCCACACACACTAGGTTTTTAGCCAGAACTTTAGAAATGTTTTATGCCTTGTTCTTCTCTACTTTTGACTTGCTTGAACCGAGAGCCAAAGCAAATTCTTTGCTTGGCTTTGACTGTGACTTCTTGTTAATTACATGGCAATGAAAATTATTCTGATTCTAATTCTTCTGAGAACAAAAATTGTGAGTTACAAGATGTCACAATCTATAAAATTGCTTTGGCTCTCGGTGCAAACAAGTTATATAAAATATATATAATAAGGCATGCATATATGATAAAAAAAAACATATGACTTCATTCTGAAACGCATGGATAAAACCTTCTGTGTTTTTCCTCAGATCCGAAAACTGCGGCGGGAATTGGACGCGTCTCAAGAGAAGGTGTCGGCGCTCACCACTCAGCTCAGCGCCAATGTAAGCAAACACACAGACATTTAGAATGACGGTGGTCAGAGTAAACATTTAGCATGACAGTAAACGAGATAAGACAAGATAAGAGAAACTTAGGCTGAGTTTACACGGAGACTGTGGCAGTAAAACGGTATAGTTGGATGTCGGTTGCTACCAACCGTTCATACGAAGACTGTGTTCCAGGGGGGTGAAAACGTAAGTGTTCAGTTCCAGCCTGCAGAGTGGGACAACTCAGATACGCTGCACAGCAGGGAGCTTTTTCACACCCGCGAGAGGGAGAAAGGTGTGAAATCCCCCTCTGCTCTGACCCCCACCTCCCCGCTGCTCCCCGCACGTAAATTTGGACATGCGCAGTAGCGGAGAACAAACATCAACAACAATGGCGCTGCCCACACAAACTAGCTACGTGGGCTTCCAGCGCGGGACAGAGGATAATTCTACTCCTTCGTTCGTCCAAACGAGACCACGCGAAGCTCTAGGTTCAGTTTCCATTTTCACAGCTGCTGTTAAAATGCAGATAGATGTTGGTGCGTTCTGAGGGTCTGGTACAGGAAGTGAGTACACTGCCGAGAGGGGGGCTGGGCACGGGGCTCGGGGTCGTGTGTCGTGTTGTAAAGTTTATCTGCCCACTACTGGCCGGGCGCAAGAACTACATCGTTTTTCAACCTCATGTGAACGCTGAGAAATTTGCATTAGGAGCCAGGTCGTTTCTGTTAATAGCCTGGAAACGTAACGTCTCAGTATAAACAGGGCCTTAATTTATCCCACAGTGGGGAAATTTCAGTGAGGATACAAGATAGTAGTATGGGCATGAAAGATTATACAGAAAGTCGCTGTAAATGCTTCACAATAAGGAGTATATATTTGACATAAAGTGACATCCATTGGACATTCTGAAATTGGACATGATTGTAGTATTTATTGTTTGTAATGTACAGTCAAACAGCAGCATGAAGTACAGACCTACGAAACCTCTCCTTCACACAGTGGAGGTAGATCAGTCTGTCATTGAAGCTGATCTCCAGACCAGTATTCTGCAGAATGGATGTTAGTTTCTCCAGGACCCTCCTGTCCCCTACCTCCTGCACAGAGAGCAAAAGAGAGGGGGGGGCGAGGAAATGCACAGCCCTGTCCGGTGAGATGATGGGAGTGTGTGTTGTGTTCCAGGCTCACCTTGTGGCGGCGTTTGAACAGAGTTTAGGAAACATGACCATTCGTCTGAAGAGCCTCACCCTCACGGCCGAGCAGAAGGTCAGTCCTGCAGTGTCTTTAAATTTTCCATTACAGACATTGAAGAGAAGTTGTATTACTGGCGTTATGTTTCACCACATTGTAAAACCAACCATTATACTTAGTCTTTTTTCCCAACCACTATCAGACTGAACTCTCTGTAGCTTGTTGGATTATATGGTCTTTAGTGTGTGTTTCGCTGTGATCATCTGTTTGTCTGGGCTCCACTTCATCTCGCTTATTGCCCTGTTACCCCTTGCTCTGCTTGGCCACACTCTACACGGCTCTATTCTACCCTGATAGGGAGCATTTCCATCAGCCTTGTTTGAGCTATTTTTTTTGTACCTGCTTGGTTCTATCCAGACCAAGCTGGAACTAAAAAGTTCTAACTGACGGGGATTAACCATGGTTGCCAAGGAAATTCCGTGGGTACTGGTTTATTATGGGTAAGGTTGCTAGGATATGGAACTAGATACTAAAGAATAATGGAAAAAAAAACAGGTAGAACCGAGTAGAGTGCAGAAGGGCCATGTAGAGCTGGTGGAAAAACTTTTTTTAAATGGGTTTTTATGCCTTATGCTGTTAAAATGAATACCCCCTGGTGGGATAAATAAAGTAGCCTGAATCTGAATTCCTAGTGACGCCTGATTTAACTGCTGCTGATTTTTCATAACTCATTTTTTCTACACACTAACATTATTGAAAGTGTGAAACCATGAAACGCGAAAGTAAAGGTTGAGTGTGCGTTGTGTTGTCTCTGCAGGACTCTGAGCTGACGGAGTTGAGGAAAACCATCGAGTTGTTAAAGAAGCAGAACGCTGTGGCTCAGGCAGCAATCAACGGAGTCCTCAACACACAAGACGTGATCGCAAAGGACAAGAGTGGTACAAACACGCCTTTATTTAATACAATTACATTTATTATTTATAGTTCTAAATCACAACAGCACTCGTCTTGGTAGACTTTATAAAGTTGCCGGTTCAAAACACAAGAAATCCTATAATAACAAAAACATAGGAGCTTTTGGTCCATAGGGAGCGGGATGACTAATGTCCATAAATGTCCTTAAATCTTCCGGATCATCTGTCTTCAGACCCTCCTGTATTGGTACAGGTACGACTAAAAAGAAAACGTGAGAAACCTTGGGATGGCCCATATTGAAAGAGATCTTTTCCCACAGACGGACAGCCTGTAGCTTGATAATATTAGCATCAAGTTACAATTGCATACATACTGGTTAATTTCTACCTAAAATAATCCGATGTGTGTCTTCGCAGCTGGTCAAAATGGGAGCCCCCAGTCCTCTGACAAGAGCGAGTCCAGAGCTCAGAGCCAGTCCAGTCCAGGTCCAAACCCAAAGCAGAGCTCCACCCCAGACCTGAGGATCCGCAGGCAGCACTCGTCCGACAGCGTGAGCAGCATGACCAGCCACTCCAGCATCGGCTCCAACATGGACGCCGACGCTCACAACCACAAGAAGAACAAGAAGAACTGGGTAAGAAGTCAAACACACAACATGTCGCAATTACAGTGGTCCCTGGTTTATTGCAGGGGTTACGTTCTAAAAGTGAAAGTAGCAGCTGTTTGTCTTTGTACACTTTTCTAGAGTGGTAGACCAGAGAGTGGTAGACCAGAGAGTGGTAGACCAGAGAGTGGGAGACCAGAGAGTGGGAGACCAGAGAGTGGGAGACCAGAGAGTGGGAGACCAGAGAGTGGGAGACCAGAGAGTGGGAGACCAGAGAGTGGGAGACCAGAGAGTGGTAGACCAGAGAGTGGTAGACCAGAGAGTGGTAGACCAGAGAGTGGGAGACCAGAGAGTGGGAGACCAGAGAGTGGGAGACCAGAGAGTGGGAGACCAGAGAGTGGGAGACCAGAGAGTGGGAGACCAGAGAGTGGTAGACCAGAGAGTGGGAGACCAGAGAGTGGGAGACCAGGGTTTGAGTTGTTTATGTTGTGCTTTGAATGACTGTGATCATGTGGGTCTCTCCTTCAGGCCTCGTTCACTGGGGACAAGGTGAATATCTGTAGCATTTAGATCTGTTGAGAACATATTGGTCAATTGCAAAACCATACGCAAGCATTATTGGGTCAAACGGCAGAACGTGGAATCTTCTGCAGCCCTAAGAGCTTTCCTGTTTCTATAAAAAACAGCCATGCATTCCTGTTCTTCTATGTTTTGCAAATGGCCACTGAACTAGTCTCTTGTCTTTTCGTTAAACTCTAACATCTAAACACGTGTCCTACTTTGTTCTGCGGTTCTGAAGAGCATTCTGTGCACTGGAGGACGGAGCAAAGATGACGACGTATGCACTTGGACATGTCTGCACTTGGTCTTGTGACCCGTGTGTTAGAAAGAGAAGATGTTTTTTAGTATTGTCAATGAGAACTAATGAGAACAATTCAAATTCAACCTTGTCTCCATGTGTAACACTGTTCCCTCATCGGCACATATTATATTTCAATATTGTGTTTGTAAATCCACTGATTGCAAAGAACTGTGATTGCAATCTTGTCATTTCAGTTGAAAAATTACCCAAATTAATATATCGGCAATACGACATAAAAAAGACAGAAACTTTTAGACAGAAGGGGGAGAGTTACAAGAAGCCAGAAGTTCCTGATATTAGCAAAGGATGGATCAGACACAACTCCAGGTCTGTTACTGATGAGGAACAATGTTGGAACATGGAGAAAAGGGGAGAAAGTTGTTTATGTAGCGTGATATATGTAAAATCTTGTAGTCCATATCCCAGCTCCTTGTATGTGGTGTGAGGAAAAGCCCACATACAATGGCCTGAAAAAGCATCTGAAGATTTTGAAATTTGTCTTCGAATGTGATCTGATCTTTCTCAAAATCACACAGATGAAAAACCAGTGAATACTTTAACTAAAATCACCTATACATTTATATATTTTTATATCTTTTGGAGAGGGAGGAGGAATAAGTAACTGAACCATCACATTTAATGAATCACTGTCTTTAGATTATGCCACAGAATCTCAATGGGGCTTAAGTCAGGACTTTGACTTAGCCACTCCAGAATGGGTTTTTGAGACAGTTCAGATCATATTTGATGGTGATTTTATATACTTCATTTACTTTTTCAGGCCACTGTAGTTTGGTTTCCTGTTGTTCTTAGCTTGGAGATTCCAGATAGAGCCCGTATTGCTCTCGTGTCTTCCTCTTCACCTGTTATAACAATATTATGATCCCTCCCCCTCATGCACAAGCACTCTGGCTCCTCTCACATTTCATCTGTTCTGTCTGTCTTGTCTTGCGCTCTCATTTGCCGTAGGTTTACGAGGTAAGCTCTGCGCTGAACAAACACTTTGAACCCCTTTTGAAGTTTCTCCTGAACTCCCATCCAAACAAAACTAACCCAGCTCTATACATCCCGTAACCTCCTGCACTCCTCCCTGAAAAGGTCTTCTGTTGATGAGACTTGCCAGTTCTAACATACAGTGAATGTATAAGCTTCAGCAGCTGAATTTTAAAAGAAAATTTTGTGCTTTTGTCCACATAAAGGCCACTCTGGAATATAAGCCTCAGGTTTTTATGCTGTAATATAGCACTTGACCAACAGCTGAGGGAGCAAAACAAAGCTGATCAGCGTTAACTCGTCACAACGTGATTTAATGACTCTTGTGCTACACAAGTGTATTTGTATTGCACACTTCATACACAGGGCAACAGAATGTCCTTAACAAAACAACCCGGTAATGATAAATCAAGGAATTAAAATCCCAAATAATCACAGTACATTAATAGGAGTCCATCATTTTGCTTTGGTACAGTTTGCTTTATGTTGGGACTCTTTTACCGATCGATCTTGATTATAAACATGCCTCCTACAACTACTAGCAGCATCTCTTGTTTGCTCTCTGCTGTTCACATAAACATCTGATACTATGTTCTTGCCTGTGCCCCAGGAGGATACTCTAATATAACTAAATAAGCATCTGCTTATAGTCCATCAAGTATGATAATTATGACTTTTCTCAATCCACTGGTTTTTCCATTTTCTATCTGTATAAAATTCTCATTTGAAGGTGTTTGAAAAAAGGAACAGCAACAATGTTAAGGATTGCTTATGAATTCCAGTTGTTTTTTTCTTTTGTACTAAAATTTCAGTCCACTCTGGGTCTAGAAGTAACTTGTCGACTGTAGTGAAAACAGTCAAAGACAAGAACATTAAACAGGCATTTCAAAGATCTGTTTCTGCTCCCTCTATTCTCACGTTTAGCGTCTGTAGTGGGGCAAAAGCAAGTTGAGTTTTCCTCCACACTACTGATTATAGCACACACATTAACTATGTGCTTCAGACTCTCACTGTGAAACCAATAATTAGATGAAAATGTCAACAGACTTTCAATGCACGAATGCTTTAGTTACAAAAAAGTAATAAATGTAGGTATATATATATGTAGGCATGCAATAAAAAAAAAAAAAAAATTGTGAATGTGAAAAGTTTGAGATGAAGAGATCCTTTATTTGTCCCACAGTGGGGAATCTGTTGCATCATCAGTTGCAGAACAGTAGGAATGAGGAGCACACAGCACAATACAGTATAAGTGGACAAGTGGATGCTAAAATTAAAACAAATCTCTAACTTTAGCAAAATGAAGATATTTCACTAGTTCAAACCAGTGAAATATTGGGGACACTATCCTGAATTTCAGTTTGGCTTGTTTGTTCCCATGCGTGGCTGGTCTCATGCATCAGACCTCATCCTCCCTCCCTCACTCCTCCCCTTCCTCACTTGAACACTCCTCCCTCCAATGTCAGCTGTTTTCATGTTGTTTATGTTGTTTGTCATGTGCCCACAGCTGCGGAGTTCGTTCAAACAGGCCTTCAGTAAAAAGAAGTCTCCTAAATCGGCCTCGTCGCACTCAGACATCGATGAAATGACCGACTCTCTGCCAGCCTCACCTCAGCTGCCCCACAACGGCTCCACGCCATCTGGTCACATGATCAGGACCGCGCTCTCCAATTCTCTGTGAGTGCTGTGTGTGTCCGTTTGTGTGTGTATGTATGTGTGTGTGTTTGTCCGTCTGTCATACTAACTGATTCTGTGAGGCGTGGACTGACCAAGTGCTAACATCACCATAATGTTTTCCTTATCGCAGAAGATAGAGGCCGAAAACGGCTAACTCGAACAGGCTGTTTGAGTGGGAATATGGAGCCAAATGTATGCAAATGTGTTTCGTAGCAACAGCCAAGCAACCTAGAGCTAATCAGAAGCAGCGCCGGTCTGTCCGCTCAGGCTACTCACTAGCTAAAGCCGAATCCCAATATACTAAGGACTTTGGTAATTGCAGTTTTTGAGATTTACTTATTGCCAATAAAATTAGGATTTTGATTCAATAAAAATTAATCTTGTGGCACTCCTTTTACTGAGCATTTTGCTAAATATTTGTTAACTCCTAAGAAAACGGAAGGAAAAAACAACGCATATAGTCTTTGTAACTAATATCTTCCAACCACTGAAATATGTCACGAGGTCTCTTGAATGATGATGGTGAAGCATGCTGTGTGAGCGTAGCGGTTGTGAATGTCTGTTTTCTCTGCAGGCTGTCGGAGTGTCTGGACTCGGAGGCAGAGATGGTGATGCAGCTGCGCTCAGAGCTGAGGGAAAAGGAGATGAAACTCACAGACATCCGCCTGGAGGCTCTGAGCTCTGCCCACCAGCTGGACCAGCTCCGTGAGGCCATGAACCGCATGCAGGTCAGACCACAGAACACACATGGCTGCTGGTGTTAGTTTATTTAAATAGTTTTCTTTGAAGCTTTTTAAATGTTGACTTCTTGTTGCACATAAAAAGCAAAAACTTCATCCACTTTATTTATTTATTTATCTATTTATTTTATAGGGACAATGCACATTAATGAACATCAGTATAAAACAAATGTAAATATGTCGTGTTTTAGTGACAAAGCTAGTTTTCAGCCATAGTCCCAAGGCAGAAAAATAAAATGAATGGAAACAACCTCATATGTGAACTCTAGTGATGAATAAGTTCAACAGGAAGTTATAGACATACATTTAACATAAACACAAAGCTCTGGTCATGATTTAGTCACATAACTGGTTGGTGTTGTAAAAAGCAGAGGCAGTGCTGAAAAAAGCATAATTGACCTGGAAGTTTATTTCAGTTTCTCAGGCAGAATGCCTTGTTTACAGCTTTTGACACGATAATGTTTATAATGTCAAGACTCACCCTCCATGTCATGTTCAATGTCATCTTGCCAACTTCAGCTCCTCCAGTATAAGCATGCTGTACCTCACTGAAAGCTCAGAACCTCTGAAATCCATTTGGTTTTCTAGGCCGACACATATTTATCTTGTCACGTCAACACATTTGTTTTTTCAGTCGGATATTGAGAAGTTAAAGTTGGAGAACGACCGGCTGCGGCTGGAAAACCAGAGCAGCAGAGCTGGATCCCAGAGCTCCTCCACTCCCCCAGCACAGACCACCTCTCTGGGTACAGCAGGCTCCACAGCGGGGGGTCACTCCCTCAACCTGACCACCAGCGAGTCCACCAGTCTGGGTATGACAGCTGTGCATATACTTTTTTATGGAAATGATAAATCAAGGGTGATATTACTTTTGTAAACGGCTGCAGGTTAAATTCTATTAAGGCTGTGAAAACAGAACTGAGGCTGTAGACCCTGGACTGAGGCTGTACACCCTGGACTGAGGCTGTAGATCCAGGATTGAGGCTGAAGATGCAGAACTGAGGCTGTAGAACAGGTGGAGAAAGACGGTGCTGTTGCAAGATCTACAGTACATTGTGTAGACATCAGCAGCGGCCCAGTGCAACAATCACATTATGTTGCACCAATGGCACTTCTCAAAACTGCCTACACTGTTTATTTTAGCTTACTATTTTTGTTTCTTTTTAACATGTGCCTTTGCACAGCGTCCTTGAGTGTCCAAACAAACGCTTTATAAGAACACCTGCCCTACCAATGTGTGCTACTATACAGTGTCATTCCGTAGTGTAGTGGCTATAATGACTGATTCTGCAGCCTCTCCTCATGCTGCATACGTTTCTTTTTCAGACATGCTTCTAGACGACACAGGAGAGAGTCAGCGGCGAGAAGGGCGCCATGTGAAAATCTACGTAACCCTGGACGACGAGGCACACTGCACAGAGGTAGCAATTTCAGATTCAGATTCAGTTTATTTGCCATTTGCAGTAAAAACACCACATAGGAATACATTAGCAAAAGTCTCCAGTGTGCACAGACAAATACAAACATAAAACAACATTAAAAGACAAAAATAAAACAAATAAAACAGTAAACAAATGTCACTGTGAACTCGATCGACTAAAACAGTTTCAAAACAAGCGCAAATCATTAAAGTGCTCTGTTCACACTGATAACAGCTTGTGGATAAAAACTGTTAGCGTAACGAGATGTCCTGCATCTCAGAGAGCGATATCTTCTGCCAGAGGGAAGAAGCTGGAACATGGCTTTCCCAGGGTGGCCAGAAGAGTCATTGACAATCCTCAGAGCTTTGTTTAAAAATCTGGATTTATAAAGAACCTCCAGAACAGGAAGCTCACAGCCCACGGTCCTCTTTGCAGAGCGGAGCACCTTGTTTAAAGCTCTCTTTTCTTTATCTGTGATGTTTCCAAACCACACAGACACAGAACCATCAAGTAAACTCTTAATGGTGCAACGATAAAAGTTAAGCAGAATCTCAGAGTTAGTGGTAAATTCTCTAAGTTTACGCGGGAAAGTAGAGACGCTGACGAGCTTTCTTAACGACTCGGTCAGTGTTTTTAACCCATTTCAGGTCGTTAGACAGAGTTAGACCCAGAAACTTGCACTCCTCTACAATCTGCACCTGGGAGTTGTCGATTACGACAGGCAAATGAGAACTATTGCGACTGAAGTCGTAGACCAGTTCACATGTTTTCGATGCGTTCAACTGGAGGTTGTTAGTTTTACTCCACTGAACCACATTTTGTATCTCTGCTCTATAAGAGGATTCATCATTGTCACTGATGAGACCGATGATGGTGGTGTCATCAGCATATTTAATGATCAAGTTTGAGTCAGAGGAGGACACACAATCGTGAGTGTACAAAGTAAAAAGCAAAGGACTCAAAATACATCCCTGAGGAGAACCAGTGCTCACAGAAACAACATCAGAAAAATTTGATTTTCACTCTCTGAGATCTGTCAGTTAAAAAGCTAAAAATCCATTTACACATGGCAACACTTAAACCGAGAGACATGAGCTTTTCAATCAGTTTACCTGGGACAAGGCAGTTAAAAGCAGAGCTATGATCGATGAAAAGCATTCTCGCCACAGATTTACTAGTTATTTATCTCCTCCTCAAACTGGTCCCCTAATTCTTGTACTTCACACATACGCATTCTCATTGTTCGTACTTTTATCTGTATTTGTCATGAACGCAGACCAAGGGGAGAACTGAAATGCAAGACTGTAAAAAAATGTAAAGATTTAATTAACAAAGCTAAGTATGTAATAACAAAATCCAGGATATAACAGAAATCAAAAATCAAACCTCAAAAACACAGGGAAGGAAATGTAATAGGCTAGTAAATTGCTTACTTACTAAGTTAGTAAGTTACTCAAAATATATCAAAATATCCAGCTAAAAGCGATCAAAAAAAGTCCACACTTGACTGTTTTTTAATTGTAAAACGTTCATGATGCCTTCTTTATGTTTGTTTGTCATGTTGGTAAGGTTCTTTTAATAAATGCTGCTTAATTACCACATGTTTGGGGCGGTAGACTTCCGCCTTCCTTAGAGAAGAGAGTCCACAAAAACAGAGAAGAAAACAAATGCAGTAGAACAACAAACATAGTCACCATACAACGAGGGGTCACAGAGCAAGCAGTACTTGGAAGGAATAAGCGCTACAGGAAAACGTCCAATCAGCAGCATCTGCCCACTGCAAATGAGAAAATCACATGATGGACTTGGACAAGTAGGAACAGAAGTGGGGCACACGGCCCATCAACGGAGACGAGGGGGCCTAGACCTCGGCTCACACTTGGGACTCACAGCACAGCAGCTGCATAGCCAGTCTGAAAAATCAGGCCTATCTCTCAGACAACAGCTGATTAGAGACACATCACAACATCACATATCTCCTGTGACAAAGGCAGAAGATTACTGTCTGTATGTGGTAATTAAGCAGGACTAGCTTCTTTACACTTTTGTCTTATTAAACCATATTGAACATTTCTTGAACCTTACTGTTCTCGATTGCTGTACTGTAGGCTCCCTGCTGTTCTCTTTTGACCAATGAGTCTATTTGTTTGACTCTCTCAGGAGGGAGAAGGACGCAGCTTCCTGATTGGCTGCATTGGAGTTAGTGGGAAAACCAAATGGGACGTCCTGGATGGAGTGGTCAGAAGACTTTTTAAGGTTTGTATGCTTATTGACTTGGAGTGGCTTATATTGAATGTGCTGAAATGACAGTCTAACTTGTTGACAGCTGTAATCAGACTGAAAATGTTTCTTTGGACAGTTGTATTCTGATATATAAAAGGCATTGAACTGTGTCTAATGATTATCTAACACAGTATTTTAGATTCAGATTCAGATTTAAAAAGGGTTTTCTCTTTATGGTTGTCTTAAATATCAATTCAATTCAATAGTCAGCTGCAAATATGACGACCCCAAAAAAACTCTAACATAAGGTTTCTCAGTGGTTTACAGTAGTATCAGATGTACTTAAAAACATACTAAAAGTTTACCAAAGTTTGACTCCAAAAAAGGCCTCATTTTCAAAATGGCGGCCATCAGGTCCTTAAAATGACCATTACTCCTTTGTATTTCTCCTAGACCAGAAATATTGGTGTCTGATATCTGTTTTGGTCATATAATATTCTAATTAGTATATTTGCATGAAAAATAAGTGATTACAAGTACAATTATATATTAAAGCAATTGGTTATAAGCTATGTATGCGAAAAAGAAGTACAATTTCCTTAAGTAATCCCATATTTCTCATTTATCATATAGTTTTTCCTAGTGGTGGTGGTTTCTGTGGTTCATAACCATTATTTTGATTCCAATAAAGAATAAATTAATTAGAACTGTGTGGTACTGTGAAATTAGTCAAAACAGGGCTGCGGCGTGAAGGCGCAGTACCGCTAACCCCTTGTGTTTTTCTTATATGATTATTATAATAATTTTATAATGTGTTTTGTTTTGTTTTTTATATTTCTTTATTATTTTCTTATTTATACATATATTTTTCTATTTTCTTCAGTTGTTTCCTTTTATTCAAAGAGCATGTGAGCAGATTTTTTCATGTTTAGTTTTAGCATATTTGTTGAGCCACTTTTGAATTGAATGAAAGTCCTCTTGTAGATACATTTGCAGTTGTGGTAAGTTTGTACCTGACAGACGACATCAGCATATAGATGAGTGATGAAGATAGAAAATAAAAGAAGTCCAAGGGTTGAGGCATGTGGTACTCATTTTTTCATGATAGAGAGACCAGTTTGAAAACTTAACCCTAACATCTTACTCAGGACCGCCTTAAACCTAACCATAACCATCTTACTCAGACCGCCTTAACCCTAACCTTAACCATCTTACTCAGACCGCTTAATCCTTACCTTAACCCTAACCTTTACCATCTTATCAGACCCCTTTACCCTAACCTTAACAATTTCCTCAGAACCCACTTAACCCTAACCCTACCATCTTACTCAGACCACCTTACCCTATACCTTAACCATCTTCCTTCGACCCACCTTAAACCTAACTTCACCATCTAACTCAGACACGCCTTAAACCTAACCTTAACCATCGTAATCAGACCACCTTAATCCTAACTTAACCATCTAACTCAGACCACCTTAACCCTACCTTAACATCGTACTGAAGTAATAATTCCCTTAGACTGACGTATCCAAAGTCGATGCAAGAGCGAGACAGAGATCTTCACGTTAAACATCTGCATTTAAATATCTTTAAATCAGATACAGATATTCACAAAAAAGAAAGCTCTAAACTATATGTCCCTCTCCTGGCCCTCCGGCTGACTGACTGCCAATTCCTCCCCAGCAGTTTCTATCAAAAGGGTCCGATGACGGTCCACAGATCTGGATGCGTCTGGGCCCCTGGTCCTGATTCTGGACCGGTCTTCCATCTCCACCTGAGCAAACAATGCCCCCCACCACTGGGCGCCTGATTGTGGTTGGACTTTTGCCCTCGTCGAGAGTGGAGAGAGCATTAGTTTATTCTTGGAGTCAATAATTGTCTGGTTTTGTAAGCTGGTCATCTCTATGATTCCTGAGTGCATATTCCTTTGTCTGATGTGCAGCATTTTATGGAAAATTCGGGTCAGTCCTCTTTTGACCTATAATAACAATAGGTCACAATCTTTCAATATTCTCTGGGTGAGGGACTGGGGAGATTCTTCATCCTAGTTTGGCTCGTATCCGTGAAGAGTTAATCAGGAAGAGAACAACACAACAACCACATTGAAACATTCCTTCACTAAACTCCTTTGATGACCACTGCTGTCATTCTGATCCTTCTTCAACCCCGTCTGAAATTAAGCACTAAAAATATTCACTTATAGTTTAAAAAATATTCTAATCTATTTACCAATTATGTTTGCATCCTTTGCTTTTATGGAGCCATTATTCTTAAAACCATATGTTTTTATCTAATAAATCTATCTATCTGTGGTTTGCTGTCATTATCAGTGGCTCTGTGCCATTTTGTGGGGCTTTGCTCATTTTTCCAAACATATTTTGTGGAACCCGGATGTGCTGTCACTTCCTTCTCTCAGGGACCGTTTGGGATAAATGTACATCGTTAATTCAAATTGGATTATCCGTACAGGAGCTAATCTATTTAAGCAGGTTCTTGGGGTTAGTCCCTATACAACGGTATTTTGATTCATCGAAATCTGTTGCTGACTCTTAAAATTCTCAACTACCTAAAGATCTACTTTTGGTGCTATACCCAAATTCATTAACAATGCTGTACAAATGTTTTTGAATCTGTGTTGGTTCTAATCGATCTCATTAATCTATCTCATTGGCTTTTTGCATTGTCAAACATTCACCTATGTTTGAAACAAGTGAATTTGACAGTATCTATAAAACTGTGCAATAAACTGTAATGAACTTTATCTACCTTTGAAGTAAATACTTTTGACATAATATGAAGGAAATTGGTCCTTCTTACGATTGATATAAGCACTGTCCTAAAAACTAAACTCTATTTTTGAAGCACTCATCTATTTTACACTCTATTGTGACTCCAAATCATGGTTGTAGTTTGAGCCAAGCATATTCCCCCTTCCCGTTCACCACCCCCCCCCACAACTTTTGAGTTCTGTTTGTAACAAATAGCATTGGCAATAGACGATATTTTATTGGCCGGTTCTTGTTCTGCAAATCACTCTTCTATGTATTGTATTTCAGACAATTCCAAAAAACACAACTGTCGTTCTCCAATATTAAAGACATACATCTAAATCAAGTTGCCCTGAAAGGGATGTTAATATTTTAAAACGTTCTTACGATTATAAGGCTATGAATTAATTATTTAATAAACAAAATCAACTTCATGGCTATCTGTCCACTGTCTTATAACTGTTTAAAGAGTTGTCCCAAACTTAATATGTGTAAATACATCAGCTGTTTGTTAATAACAATAACATTTGACCTGTTCTCCAATGGAGCAGCTCAGAGGCTGCGTCAAATGCAACTGTTACTATTTGAGTATTTATAGATTTAAAAATTGTGTTAAAGCCTGTCGGTTCTCTGTCTGCCTTTAATACTAGTCTTTAAAACCATCTGCACTAGTTCCTACAGATGTGGGAAAACAGAAGCATCTAAGAATCTGGACTCTATTTGATTCCTTTTTACTTCTAGTTAATAGAATAATTTGACATTATTGAAACTTATTTTCCACAATAGAACTATTTTGATTTTCACTAGTCTAACTATTATTACTATTGTTTATTCTGACACTTCAACCTTATAGCTCCTCGAATCCAATGACATGTATAGCTCCAGACTATTCATTCTATTCATTATTATCTTATTATTATATGATCTATTTATCTTAAAGACGTAGATCTGTTGATGTTAAAGCGTATTATTTTCCTTTTGAATTTGCACAACACCCTTTGAATTTTGCACATAACACTAATTTAGAAGGACCCCTATGGGACAAATATAGAATTTTATTCATTTTGGCAAACTCCGAAAATTACTTAATAATTTTCCCATTTTGCTTTTTTAGGCTGCCCTTTATTATTTATTTGTTTTGTTAAATATATGTTTTACACTTCTTCTAATGATTTCAGAAGGTTAAGGACCATGACACCTATGACAATACATACTCCCCTCTGTTGGTCGTGGTCCAAAGTTATAAAAATGCATTGTATGTGTGTGTAGATTACTGTTCCATCCTGTGCTCCTCCCGGATCGTCCTCATTCATATTGTGGCTTTGAGTGCCAAAGTAGAGGCTCATTTCCTTAATTTCATCCTCATGTCATCTGAAGCAGGTGCAGTTTATCTGTCATCTGAAAAACAAAACATTCGAACACAAGGAAAACGCCCACTTTCCTCTCGTCGCATGGTGCGGCCTGTCAATCAATCAATTGGGCCAAAACATAACTGCATTGACAGGGACGGTGTGTGACATCATGGCAGAGGCTGTAGCCAAATACAGACTTACAATATGTATGTTTCTAATTATACACTCCCCTAATGTGAGTTACAAACCAAGTTGTCCTCCTCCCAATGACCGCTCACTGCGGTTGGACCGAATCACTGTCCGGACAAAACAGCAGAGGGAGGGGCTCCCAGTACCTTCAGCGAGTATTTCATCTCAGAGTACTTTCGCATGAGGACTTTTCTCAGAGTACTCTTCCCAGAGTACTCTCACTTTTACACCTGTTCAATAAAGCTTGTCATCTTTGAATCTTAGTACTTACACGTATGCTGTTGACAAAAAATAATTATTCCATGAACACATTAAAACATTACAGAAATTTTGATTTCCATGATTCGTGTCAGCATTCCTCAGTTCACTCCACAACACACTCACAACACACTTCACCACACCCCACGTAAGTAATTGGTCCAGTTTGTTAACTCATTCATGCCCATTGCGACAAAAGTCGCTTCTATTGTATAGTGACGCTCATGCCCAAGACGAACTTAGGACGACTTTTCGTGTTTTTACACGGGAGGCTGCAGTAATAGGTCTGGCGCCCTTGTTAATGACCCCAACATGATATTATAGTGCAAACTGTACCTGTAAGCTAAATCAACCACCAGTAGGATGCAGTATTGCACCACAGGAGAGGTCATAAGTCAGTGGAGAGAAGGAGGAGGAGTTGGGGTCATTTGGAGATCGTGCTGCGTAGCTGAGGCGATGATAGCGTACTGTAGCATTGAGGACGGATCCGATCTAGTTTATCGATAGTGTTTAGCAGAAGTGATGGCCAAAAAAGATAG